TTTTGTTTCATCAGACCAGAGGACATTTCTCAAAAAAGTACGATCTTTGTCCCCATGTGCAGTTGCAAACCGTAGTCTGGCTTTTTTATGGTGGTTTTGGAGCAGTGGCTTCTTCCTTGCTGAGCGGCCTTTCAGGTTATGTCGATATAGGACTTGTTTTACTGTGGATATAGATCCTTTTGTACCTGTTTCCTCCAGCATCTTCACAAGGTCCTTTGCTGTTGTTCTGGGATTGATTTGCACCAAAGTACGTTCATCTCTAGGAGACAGAACGCGTCTCCTTCCTGAGCGGTATGACGGCTGCCTAGTCCCATGGTGTTTATTATTGTGTACTATTGTTTGTACAGATGAACGTGGTACCTTCAGGCGTTTGGAAATTGCTCCCAAGGATGAACCAGACCTGTGGAGGTCTACCATTTTTTTCTGAGGTCTTAGCTGATTTCTTTTGATTTTCCCATGATGTCAAGCAAAGAGGCACTGCGTTTGAAGGTAGGCCTTGAAATACATCCACAGGTACACCTCCAATTGACTCAAATGATGTCAATTAGCCTATCAGAAGCTTCTAAATCCATGACATCATTTTCTGGAATTTTCCAAGCTATTTAAAGGCACAGTCAACTTAGTGTATGTAAACTTCTGACCCACTGGAATTGTGATACTGTGAATTATAAGTGAAATAACCTGTCAAATCAAATCAAATCAAATCAAATCAAATCAAATTTTATTGGTCACATGCGCCGAATACAACAGGTGCAGACATTACAGTGAAATGCTTACTTACAGCCCTTAACCAACAGTGCAAGTGAAATAATCTGTCTGTAAACAATTGTTGGAAAAATTACTTGTGTCATGCACAAAGTAGATGTCCTAACCGACTCGCCAAAACTATAGTTTGTTAACAAGACATTTGTGGAGTGGGGTCCAGGCAAAAACATTTTTTTTTGGGGGGGGGGGGGGGGGGGTGCATGCCAGCAAAGCCACTATACAACACTAAACAATACATTAATTGCACTATAATGGTGACAAACGCTGCCCACAAACTTAGGGCCTACATAAAGTCCCAACAGCAGTCCCAACACCTTACCACTGTTACACCTGGCTATCAGCGGAGCCTTGTCTGTCAGCGAAACAGTTCATTCAGCCTCATTTACTGCCTTAAAAAAAAACATAGCTGATATGGCTGACTTGCTTAAACAAATGTGGTTTCTACTGACAATTGAGATGTACAAACTATGGCATAAGAGGACGACAAGCGGATAAGAGGCAATCCGTAATTTCGATTAAGACATTAATGACCGAGCTAGGACGGACGTAGTCAATATAACTATTTGTTCAGCACTTTTGAAATGTACAGCGACAGAATTCAGAACATGGGCCATTCTCACAGTGTTCTCACTTTACACCAAGTCAGAACCGTAGGATAAATAAAGGGGGCAATAAAGCAGACAATGAAAGCTCTTACAATTTTCAATGATTACATTTTTCTAAAACAGGTTATAGGCTACATGTGCACCATCAAGTCAGAACACTAGGCGAAATTAAGAGGGGATAATAGACCCAATTATTAGGGTGAGGCACATGGGCTACTAACAGCTTACTATACAAAATTCACTTAGTATTACTTTCTTAGCTACAGTATACATATCTCCCTGGCATATTACATCATTTATGCAGCAGCATACAAGACATTTTTGGACTCACCTTGTTGTGCTGTGCTCACTTGAACAGGAAGGTGGCGCAGCGGTCCTTCATAGGCAAATTTTGTCATCAAACTTTGTCATCAAAGTCTGGCATTCTCTGGATTTATGGTGCTTTCAAGACAACTGGGAACTCAGAAAAAACAAGGTTGAATCATGATGACGTCAGTGATCTTCAGGTCGTAGCTCTAGAAAGAGGCCTGTGTTCCCGATTTACAATTCTGAGTTGGATGACCGTATTTTGCCAGTCGGAGCTCATTTTTAGCCACTGATTCCTTCCAAACCACTCATTGTTGAATTTGCGATTTCCAACTTGTTGTGTAATGTTTATGTCCAATGGCCGATGGGCACAGATTCGTTTGATCTATAATTTCTCTTCATTATTTATCTTCATATGACAAGGATTAAAAAGGATTTGCCAGTAGATTGTCGACTTGATTCACGATGATGACTGCTAGTTAAGATTTTGAAAGTATGATGTTGACATGCTCAGTCCAATCAAAGCTACCGTAGATATAACGTGATTTGACATCATTTTATTTGTGGCCAATGACCTTGAGCCTTCTTGGATGGGCACTTCTAATGTAACTCTATGGCAGCACCCAAGGGGCTTGAATTTTCAAGCTCTACCCTTAGATTTGGCAGTGACAAAGTGTCTCCATGAGTGACACAACACTGAGCCAATCATGGCGCAACTAGAGAACATTACCAGTTTTTTGGGCATGTTGTATTAATTGTGATAGGCTCATATTTTACCCGTACGGTGTACCCCCACTATTTATTACCAACCCCTACGCTCTGTATTTTCCGCTGGCTGCCCCACCACCACAGAAAGCACTGAGTTAGGATGAAACACCTGCATTTTGAAGCTGCCTTACTCAAGAAAGCAAAAAAGAGACCATGTTTGTATGGGTTTTATTAACTCAATTATTATTATTTATTAATTTTTGACATTGTTTGCAAACTGATATGTGACACGTATTAATGCCAAAATAACATGCAAAACAGCCAAAACATTATTATAATTTTTTTAAAAAATGTTTTAGCAAAAAATGTGGGGCTCAAAACATTTTAGGGCCTGAATGACGGGTCGCCACTACTATAAAGTAGCATTAACTGTAAAGCTATCCGTCACTAGTGGAAACATTTACAACTGCAATTAAGTTACGTTATCTTTTTTATGTATTTTACCTCAGACAATCTGGTAGTAAGGTTGCTAGCTAGCACTCCTAGCAGTTTATACTAACTAGTTAGTTGGCTCGAATTTCCTGCTAGTGAAGTTGCTAGCTAGCAAGTTAGCATAAACTAGATCTAACTGGGCTAGTCATTGTTTAAATGACAGGTAGAAACACAGGGGGCTAGTTATTTTATCTGTGGCCAATGACCTTGAGCCTTCTTGGATGGGCACTTCTAATGTAACTCTATGGCAGCACCCAAAGGGCTTGAATTTTCGAGCTCTAACCTTAGATTTGGCAGTGACATAGTGTCCCCATGAGTGACACAACACTAAGCCAATCATGGCCCCCAGTGGCCAGTTACCCCCTATTGGGGGGGGGGGGGGGGGGGGGGGTGGAGTTGCCCCCAACACACTCATCCAACATATTACTACTCAAAAATTATCTAAATGTTTCTCTCTAAACAAGTGGATTATTTATCTTAAGGCTTTCCTACTTGTATATTTTTAAAAAATTGATCTAACTTACCACAAAATTGTTTTGTTGAAATATCTCCAAAAGTTGTGATGACACAGAGGACATTTTCTGTTCAGCAAGAACAGTAACAGCCAGGGAAAGTGTTGGGGAAATAATTTGGTGACATCTTGTGGTCTTTATGTGAATTACAGGGGGTGGGGGTGGTGGGGAGTTACCTCAGGGGGCTTGTTACCCCCTACTACCCTATACACCCGGTTTCCAGTCAATTCACTAATTTTTCATGCGGCTTACATGCAGCAATGTTAAATAATGGTGTAATAGCCTATAGTTTTTTGGGCATGTTGTATTAATTGTGATAGGCTCACGTTTTACCCGTGCGGTGTACCCCAACTATTTATTTTGCCGGGACACAGTACCGGACCTACCGCCTTAATTTCACCCATGTGTAAAACCCTTTCCAAATAGGGTTCTACAACGGTTCTTTTTCCCTGGAACCAAAAAGGGTTCTACCTGGAACCAACAGGTGTTATCCTATGGGGACAGCCAAAGAACCCTTTTGGAACCCTTTTTTCTAAGAGTGTACTACTTAAGTGATAATGCCCGAAAAGCCGGGGTTTGGAGGATATATTGGCACCGGTTCGTCTCGGACCGGCAAACCGTGCCAATATATCCTCCAAACACCGGCTTCGAGGGCATTATCACTTTTAAACAAGAGGTTACCAACATATTCAAATAATGATTGACATATTTTTATTAAAAACCTTATTTTGATTAATTTGTTCATACTATTTCATCCTTCCACAATATATTGTCCTAACACAAATCTAGGGTTGCTACCCAAGCCGGCTGGTCATTCGTTCTATCGGTTCGGAGGCCAGAGACCGGACCCAGTCGTTCAGTCTTTTTGTTCTGTATCTATGGACACAGGCTGGAATGCGGTTTTAACCAATCAGCATTCAGGATTAAACCTACCCGTTGTATAATGTGTTGTACAAGTGTTCCTTAGGAAAATATATGAGAAGAATACACTCTGCTGGTCATTATTGATACTACGGGTTTAGAGTAAAAATGCTTTGTGGGTATTATATACATCATTGATTGATATTATATGGAACTTGGTCTTCAATAATCCAATGACATTTTGATTTATTCAACTATTTGAAATGTCAATTTTATTCAACAGCAAATATAATTTTCTCCATATGTTACAGTGGGCTTTAGGGTGTCACTTTAATTTTCCACTGTAAAAATGATTAAAGAAAACAATCACATAGGCCTAGGCCCTTATTAAATATGTATAAAACAAAATAAAGAATAACATTCAGTGTTCCTAGTGTCCGGGGTGAGTCCAAAGGAGAGGTCCGATAGTGGAGAACAGAATGGTGGTGGCAGGAGTGAAGCGGAGGCAGGAGTCAGGTTCCAAATATATGGTTGTCTTGACTATGATCTGACGATGAGTGGTAAGTTTGACCGGGTCTTAAAGGCTGAGGTGATTATGGTGAATGAGCTGCAGCTGGAACCCTGACTCCCGCACACCAGACTTCACTCCTGCAATCAAGGACAGACAGAGGGGAGGGAGAGAGCAGAGAGAGCTACCTATCAGCAGTAGGCCTAACATGCCATTGGCCCCGCCCCTACTCATATAGGGGCCCCTGCCTCCGCGCGCATCGTTCAGTACCGTTACATGAGCATATCAGAGGACCGTCACGAGCCATCATGTCCAGACAGAGCCTGGCGTGCGCTATCGCCATTCTCGCAGTGCTTTTGTCGGGATCCTCCCTCGCCAGCCGCAAACTTCTAGTGTTCCTCATCGATGGATTTCGATATGATTACATGGACGATCTGCAAAGTTTGCCTGGGTTTAAAGAGATAATGGATAATGGGGTCAAAGTGGATTATATGACCCCCGACTTCCCCAGCCTTTCATACCCCAATTACTACTCACTAATGACAGGTGAGATGATTTTACCTGACTGTGCCTCAAAGTTACAGCTGTGAAAAAATATAGATTAGGCTACAAAAGGTTGACCATGATTGATCACCAAATAAGATTTTAAGAACATGGAGCCATTTCTTTGTTATCTTGGACATATAGTGTGAACAAATAGTAAGTTCACAGGTGGAATCCATTTGAACCTTTATTGCTTGCCTGAACAAATAGGATATAGTGACAGTGGAGTTTAAACTTTGATGTTTATGTATAAAGTTGTAAAGTAGCGTGTTGTACTCTGTTGTGGCAACACTGAAATAATAATTGGTCAATCATTCTCATCAATATTGTTGCAGAATGATACATTGTTAATGAATGATTTGATAACTTGGGTTTAGAAATGATCAACCCAACAATGAATGAAAGGAAACTTTACACCATGGAATGGAAGGCAGATGAGATAACATTTCAGAAGTAGGCCATACTCTGTAAACTTTGTGTAGACATTGACAGTAGCCTAATGCAGTGATGGATGTATAATACATCCATTGATGGACAGGAGCCTGGCACAGCTTTCCTGGGTCCTCAAGCAGTAGGACTCTGCCTCGTCAGTAGCAGAGCCCCACGCGCCTCTCCCCCCTGGCAACCACACTGTCTCTATTGTATCACTTACATATGGTATGAGTGAAAACAAGGGACAACCAGAGCCATGTATTTATAGAGTTGGGCCAATCCGGTTTCTGCATTATGATGCATTTACATGACATTACAACATTCTATGACAGCCATGTTAGCTCCCCATTAACATTACATGGGGAATATTTAAATAGTGCTGTCTCGAAATGTCTAGAATTAGAAAAATATTCAAAATTCTAAAAGTTGGCCTAACTCTAAATATATGGCTCTGGGGACAACTAGTTAAAGTTTAAATCACTTTACTAACCCAAAGCAACAACAACGTTTACAGTTTGCCACAGAACACAATCCGTCAGTTTCGTTAATACAGTAACAATAACCATACGATACATACTTAACAACATACCCGAGCCGACTAGGTGAAAATCTTGCGATGTGCCCTTGAGCAAGGCACTTAACCTAATTGCTCCTGTAAGTCGCTCTGGATAAGAGCGTCTGCTAAATGACTAAAAATGTAAAAAAAATACACTGCTTTGCACCTGATCAGTTCTCTCACATACTTAACAACATACACTGCTTTGCACCTGATCAGTTCTCTCACTGGACCTCTTCAGAGTCCTGGTAGAGAACGACACCATCACTGACAGTGTAGTAGTGACATAACAACAGATGTAGGTAGGTAGTAGTGGTGGTCTTATATAGGGGCTTTATGTTGTGTTTGGTGACATTTATGCTTATAATATATGTAAGGAGTGCCTGCTCACTTCAGTAAAAACAGCCCTGGTCTGTATGGCTCCTCAGTCAGCGGCTGTAGGCTATCTCAGTAATAACAGCCCTGGTCTGTATGGCTCCTCAGTCAGCGGCTGTAGGCTATCTCAGTAAAAACAGCCCTGGTCTGTACGGCTCCTCAGTCAGCGGCTGTAGGCTATCTCAGTAAAAACAGCCCTGGTCTGTACGGCTCCTCAGTCAGCGGCTGTAGGCTATCTCAGTAAAAACAGCCCTGGTCTGTACGGCTCCTCAGTCAGCGGCTGTAGGCTATCTCAGTAATAACAGCCCTGGTCTGTATGGCTCCTCAGTCAGCGGCTGTAGGCTATCTCATTAATAACAGCCCTGGTCTGTATGGCTCCTCAGTCAGCGGCTGTAGGCTATCTCAGTAATAACAGCCCTGGTCTGTATGGCTCCTCAGTCAGCGGCTGTAGGCTATCTCAGTAATAACAGCCCTGGTCTGTATGGCTCCTCAGTCAGCGGCTGTAGGCTATCTCAGTAATAACAGCCCTGGTCTGTATGGCTCCTAAGTCAGCGGCTGTAGGCTATCTCAGTAATAACAGCCCTGGTCTGTATGGCTCCTCAGTCAGTGGCTGTAGGCTATCTCCACTCCAGGCTGAACCCCTGGCAGAGAGAGAGCAGAGGGGCAGAGGGGCAGAGGGGAGAGCAGTAAAGCCCCAAAGACAACAGATTCTGTCAAATCCCTCCCAATCGCCAGATCACTTTGTGGATGATTTGCTGATGTAAGTTGTTTTGGTAGAGCACATTCCCCTCAACAAAGCCACGGCTCAGGCTACTACCACCATTTTGTGCACAGGCATTAGCAACATAACCAAACAGAGCTGACAAAGGCCATCTGACACAGGGCCCTCCAGTTACCCCGAGCATCTGACACAGGGCCCTCCAGTCACCCCGAGCATCCGACACAGGGCCCTCCAGTTACCCCGAGCATCCGACACAGGGCCCTCCAGTTACCCCGAGCATCCGACACAGGGCCCTCCAGTTACCCCGAGCATCTGACACAGGGCCCTCCAGTCACCCCGAGCATCCGACACAGGGCCCTCCAGTTACCCCGAGCATCTGACACAGGGCCCTCCAGTTACCCCGAGCATCTGACACAGGGCCCTCCAGTCACCCCGAGCATCCGACACAGGGCCCTCCAGTTACCCCGAGCATCCGACACAGGGCCCTCCAGTCACCCCGAGCATCCGACACAGGGCCCTCCAGTTACCCCGAGCATCTGACACAGGGCCCTCCAGTTACCCCGAGCATCCGACACAGGGCCCTCCAGTCACCCCGAGCATCCGACACAGGGCGCTCCAGTTACCCCGAGCATCCGACACAGGGCGCTCCAGTTACCCCGAGCATCTGACACAGGGCCCTCCAGTTACCCCGAGCATCCGACACAGGGCCCTCCAGTCACCCCGAGCATCCGACACAGGGCCCTCCAGTTACCCCGAGCATCCGACACAGAGCCCTCCAGTCACCCCGAGCATCCGACACAGGTCCCTCCAGTCACCCCGAGCATCTGACACAGGGCCCTCCAGTTACCCCGAGCATCCGACACAGGGCCCTCCAGTTACCCAGGGCATCTGACACAGGGCGCTCCAGTCACCCAGGGCTAGACTAGAGCCATGCATAAGGGGCTATTTCAAAGCTGATGGAGCTTTTCAGAGACACGTTTATTTGGAGGGAGTCAGGGAAGGGGGCTACTTGTGAGAGTATACTGTACAGACACATAGAAAGAGGAGAGAGTACTTCTTACTGTCCTCCTGTATATTATTAAACACATTCTCTGGTACTTTTGTATACTTTGTAGCCAGTAGTTCTAAAAGTCGCGCTCACAAGCCAAAAGTAGTCCCCGAAAAATTGCGTGAAACATCACATACAGTGGGGAAAAATAGTATTTAGTCAGCCACCAATTGTGCAAGTTCTCCGACTTAAAAAGATGAGAGAGGCCTGTAATTTTCATCATAGGTACACGTCAACTATGACAGACAAAATAAGAAAAAAAATCCAGAAAATCACATTGTAGGATTTTTTATGATTTTATTTGCAAATTATGGTGGAAAATAAGTATTTGGTCAATAACAAAAGTTTCTCAATACTTTGTTATATACCCTTTGTTGGCAATGACACAGATCAAACGTTTTCTGTAAGTCTTCACAAGGTTTTCACACACTGTTGCTGGTATTTTGGCCCATTCCTCCATGCAGATCTCCTCTAGAGCAGTGATGTTTTGGGGCTGTCGCTGGGCAACACGGACTTTCAACTCCCTCCAAAGATTTTCTATGGGGTTGAGATCTGGAGACTGGCTAGGCCACTCCAGGACCTTGAAATGCTTCTTACGAAGTCACTCCTTCGTTGCCCGGGCGGTGTGTTTGGGATCATTGTCATGCTGAAAGACCCAGCCACGTTTCATCTTCAATGCCCTTGCTGATGGAAGGAGGTTTTCACTCAAAATCTCACGATACATGGCCCCATTCATTCTTTCCTTTACACGGATCAGTCGTCCTGGTCCCTTTGCAGAAAAACAGCCCCAAAGCATGATGTTTCCACCCCGATGCTTCACAGTAGGTATGGTGTTCTTTGGATGCAACTCAGCATTCTTTGTCCTCCAAACACGACGAGTTGAGTTTTTACCAAAAAGTAATATTTTGGTTTCATCTGACCATATGACATTCTCCCAATCCTCTTCTGGATCATCCAAATGCACTCTAGCAAACTTCAGACGGGCCTGGACATGTACTGGCTTAAGCAGGGGGACACGTCTGGCACTGCAGGATTTGAGTCCCTGGCGGCGTAGTGTGTTACTGATGGTAGGCTTTGTTACTTTGGTCCCAGCTCTCTGCAGGTCATTCACTAGGTCCCCCCGTGTGGTTCTGGGATTTTTGCTCACCGTTCTTGTGATCATTTTGACCCTACAGGGTGAGATCTTGCGTGGAGCCCCAGATCGAGGGAGATTATCAGTGGTCTTGTATGTCTTCCATTTCCTAATAATTGCTCCCACAGTTGATTTCTTCAAACCAAGCTGCTTACCTATTGCAGATTCAGTCTTCCCAGCCTGGTGCAGGTCTACAATTTTGTTTCTGGTGTCCTTTGACAGCTCTTTGGTCTTGGCCATAGTGGAGTTTGGAGTGTGACTGTTTGAGGTTGTGGACAGGTGTCTTTTATACTGATAACAAGTTCAAACAGGTGCCATTAATACAGGTAACGAGTGGAGGACAGAGGAGCCTCTTACAGAAGAAGTTACAGGTCTGTGAGAGCCAGAAATCGTGCTTGTTTGTAGGTGACCAAATACTTATTTTCCACCATAATTTGCAAATAAATTCAGAAAAAATCCTACAATGTGATTTTCTTGATTTTTTTCTTCTCAATTTGTCTGTCATAATTGACGTGTACCTATGATGAAAATTACAGGCCTCTCTCATCTTTTTAAGTGGGAGAACTTGCACAATTGGTGGCTGACTAAATACTTTTTTTCCCCACTGTATGTGCGCCACGTCATTGCTCTCTTTCTCTCGCTCTGCTGTGTGTGCAACTTGCTAGCTGTCACTCAAATGGCGAGGAACCAGTAGCGGTGCATGGGTAAAATCACTGGGGAAGCCAAGCCAGGAACAAAATGCCATATTACAACCGTTGTGTTGTGACAATTAGAAGACACAGTGGCAGAATAAATTCAACTACACCTTTGTTTCATCACAAAACCGGAGAACAACATCTGTCTGGTGAAGTCCACAAAGCATATTGCATGTAACAAACAGTTACATGACCTACAGCATGGTCAAGCAAGGTAATGTTTCCGACATTTTCGGATTACTAAACAACTATTGATTTAGAAACACAGAGAGTTAGAGCAAGTCGCAAAGAAAACAGGAGCTGCCTCCACTATCTCAGCACCATTTCAACTTCAACATCATCTAATCACCTATGCTGATTTCTGTGCGGGCGTGCAAGTACAAAAAACATGTTGACTCACCCTACTTGTAGATAAACGCCAAATCCATCCTCCTCTCTTTCATGTTGCCGAAACACACTTTTAGTTTTTGTTGTCCTAGGCTACCTGGCTACAATGCTTGCTCGCTAGCCTAACTTCCATTCATGGGCAACAATACGCCAGGCCAGCTAGTTCACATTAGCCTACTACTTCTAGCTACATGTTGAACTTCTATCCTCTCAGGCTAGGGGCACAACAATGTATGAATTTATGGATGGATCAGAATCGCCATTGTGATCCTTGGCCTACAGAGAATTAAGTAAAACCACAAGTCCAAATCCCTATCTCCATCCAATGGCTAATTTAGGAAAGGGCCATTTTAGCTAGCTAGCCACCGGAGGACAACGACACAAGGGGATGCAACAATAAAACATTTCTGTCAATGATGTTTGGCTTTTGATGTGATGTGATTGGTGTGAAGCCAAATCCTAACCTGCTTCCTTTGACACTTTATTTTGGTGTGCCAGGACCATTCACAGTTGAACTCACTCAGTTTAGCTCAACGCTGATTGGCTATTATAAAAATATATATAATTTAAAGGGAGGCCAAATGTTCACTGGCTTCCCTTGCATTCAATGCTACTGGCGGCATTAATGTAATACTCTTTTTGACCAGACAGCATCAGGTAGATGGGCTACACATACGGAGACAGAGGGGGCGCTGTTTCACTCGCTCGGATGCTTTCTCCGGAGAGATACATTCAGCCTCTTGCAAATTGAAGGAGAATTATGAAACACAGAGAGACGAAAGCTACATTTTAAATTGTATTTAAAATATGTTTTTCTTGGTAAATCTTTTGGAGAAGCCTGGTATCCCTTGGCACCCATGAATACATGCCACTGGTTGGAACTCAAATTGCTTGGGGGTTGGTCCACCTGGGGGGAAATAGCGCTGGACAGCTTCCAGTAAACAGTCGCTTTCAAACTAGGGATTTCGTGCCTAATTGAGGTAAAACAGTAATTCTTCTCATAGATTATGCATGTATGAACTACACATTGACACATCCAGCCCAAAGCGGGAGGTTTTAAAAATACTTTGTAGTCGCCAGTCTTTAATTGACTGCCTCTGAGCTGAGAAAAGGCCAGGTGTCACTACATGAGAATATGTTTTGGGCATTTGTATATTACTTGTGAAATTGTTATTTATTGTGGGTACTTTTCTGCACGTTCCACACTTCACACAGGTGGTACTGTCAATTTAACGTTTCCCTCACACTCCCAATGGAATTTGCAGGTCATTCTGAAGACCAACCTTTGGTCATTGTATAATCTGTAAAGCACATGACACAGGAGGGACTGAGGGAAGAGAGTGGTATGGTCTTTTGGGAACTTTTGGGGAGGGGGGGGGGGGGGCAGTATTTCCCCTGAAACGCTGCAGTAAATAACATTAATAATGTACAAATATGTTCCTTCTAGCATCTCTATACAGTACATACGTGTGTTCTGAAGCTAAGTCAACCTATTATAACAGGTAGCCTTATAAAAGTCCTGTACTGGCCCCCATTCACCCTGTCAGTGCTATTTATAGGCCCCTGTAGCTCAGTTGGTAGAGCGTGGCGCTTGCAACGCCAGGGTTGTGGGTTCGTTTACCACGGGGGGCCAGTATGAAAATGTATGCACTCACTAATTGTAAGTCTCTCTGGATAAGAGCATCTGCTAAATGACGAAAACGTAAATGTATTTAAACTGAACCTCACATTTCCATAGAGACTACTGCAGGTGGCTAACAAAACACAGCTGCAGTTTGGATTGTTTTTCTCAGAGGAAAAACTCTTGGCAGAGCTGTGCCGCTGACCTACCAAAAGGATTCAGAGCATTTATTTGAGTAATTTCTGATTGTCGTAACTCTGCTAACCAACTGTGTCTCCAAAGGCAGATAAGAAAACAAAAGCCCCTAGATTAGCTGCATTCCTGGCATCTGAGTTTAATAAGGAACCACATAGTTGCATGAGCGCCTCTAAAAACAGCAATGGCAGTATTGAAGGGGTTGTTAAAATAAAAGATGTGGCCTTGCTCAACGTGTTGTCGTGTATGAGGTTTGACTGTAGTTGTGTTAGTGTTGTGTTATGAGTTGTGACTGTAGTTGTGTTAGTGTTGTGTTATGAGTTGTGACTGTAGTTGTTTTAGTGTTGTGTTATGAGTTGTGTTATGAGTTGTGACTGTAGTTGTGTTAGTGTTGTGTTATGAGTTGTGACTGTAGTTGTTTTAGTGTTGTGTTATGAGTTGTGACTGTAGTTGTGTTAGTGTTGTGTTATGAGTTGTGACTGTAGTTGTGTTAGTGTTGTGTTATGAGTTGTGACTGTAGTTCTGTTTTAGGTTAAGTGTCCTGTTTGTGTTGTGAGTTGTGTGATACCAGGTAGTGTGAGCCTGCTAGGGAAAGGGAGGATGAGACACTGCTGTGTGTGTGGATGACCTTGAGTCTGTGTGTGTTTTGTAAGGGTTGGGGAGAAAGCACTCGCTGTCTCAACTAAATTGAACCTAGAGAATTGAGCAATAATCCAACTTTAACGAATGAAGACGGCAGCGCTCACGGAGATAATCATTTATGTTGTTTTATTGCATCATATCAGTCCCAGGCAACCCTTTTTAGTTGCAGGTAGAATCCTTTTGGTTTCAGGTAGAACCCTTTTGGGTTCCAGGTAGAACCCTTTCTACAGAGGGTTCTACATGAATCCCAAAAGGGTTCTACCTGGAACCAAAAAGGGTTCTACCTGCAACCAAAAAGGGTTCTTCAAAGGGTTCTCCTATGGGGACAGCCGAATAACCATTAAAGGTTCTAAATAGCACCTTTTTTTTCTAAGAGTGTAGGTTAACTGGCTGAAACAGGCCCTTGCCTGGGACTGATATGATGGTTCCAGGTATGATGGTTCCAGGTAGAACCCTTTTGGGTTCCAGGTAGAACCCTTTTGCGTTCCAGGTAGAACCCAAAAGGGTTCTCCTATGGGGACAGCTGAAGAACCATTTTGGAACCCTTTTTTCTAAGAGTGTAGGCTCCGTGACCAAAAAGCATCCGCCTGACTGCCGTTATGCAATACATCATATCTTGTGAGTGATTTTGTGAATGCTGGCTGTGTTTAAAGCACTGGGGGGTTAGCCAGCAAACTTAACATTACCCAATGTCCCACAACAAATACACAACAGTCAAATTACAGTTCAACGGGTTGTTTAATGAAAATAGCTGAAGTATTAACCAACTTAGTTAACATCTAAATGATGGTTTAGAACTGACACTCAGCTGTAGACAACAGTTTTCAGTCACAGGAACCCTTTTGGATCGAGCTGGATAGAAATTAGCAGCTGGGCCAGAAATACTTAAATGTCCTTATAAAGCTGGTACACATCACTACACATCACTACTCTCCCTTGAGTCTTTGCCCATAAAAAGTCTTATCCATGTCCATATCTAACTTCTGAAATAAAAAAGAAATTTCTGGGTTTTCAGGCCGGTACTGTGAAGTGCACCAAATGACAGGGAATTACATGTGGGATCAGCGCTCTCTCAAGGAATTCCTAATTGGCACCAACCAAGACAGTCGGCTGCCAATGTGGTGGGACGGGTCTGAGCCCATCTGGGTAACCATGCAGAAACTCGGGAAGAAAGTCTTCATGTACTATTGGCCCGGTAAGGACACTCTGGCACATTTCAGAATGATCAGAGCTTTGGAAATAGATAAATACATAAATACAGTAAGGCCCCCAGTGGCATTACATTGTTTTGGATATAATTATAATTATTCAAGCATTTCAAATGTTTTGTCTACCAGTCATATCAAGAACACAGGATTCAGATGCTGTATATTCTGGAATCAAACTAAATGCCTTCCATTGATGTACATTCCAATTGGATCATTGAGATGAACTCAAGTGTGAACCTTCTAGAAGCACAGTGATCAGTGATGTGACACCTGTTATCTACTGTCTTGTTATCAGGTTGTGAGGTGGAGATTCTGGGTGTGAGATCTTCGTTCTGTGAGGAATACGTCTACAATCCCACAGAGAAAAATCTGACAGATTCTATTGAAAGTGCTCTCGATGCTTTACGGTAAGAAATGGAGGTGTTTTGGAATCAGCCAGGTTTGGAATGTAGTGCCATTCTGTTGTGTAGTAACACCATAACAACAAACCTGTGTTTACTTCATCAGTAGTGGCAGAGCAGACATGGCTGCTGTGTACTATGAGAAGATTGACGTAGAGGGGCATCACTATGGCCCCATGTCTTCTCAGGTGAAGACTGCTGTTCAGAGGCTGGACGTCGCCTTCCAGGCGCTAAACCAAAAGATTAAGGTTAGGCCCTATATTGTTTTCCAAACATTGAAAAGAGAGTAAAAATTAACTACTCAATCCAGCAAAAATGTTTCCATGCTACAATGATTTGTACAAAGTAACAGATATAGCCTGCTGATTGTGGTCAGAATGTTGAGCGTACATTGTGACCAGAGGGCCTTGGTCAAAAGTAGTGCACTATATAGGGAATAGGGTGCCATTTGAGTCGCAGCCTTTGATCTAAACAGGTTACCACCACCCTGCTGTATTTCAGGAGAAGAACCTGCGTGACGAGCTGAACGTCATCATGTTTTCCGACCATGGGATGACAGAGATCAAGTGGATGGAGAAAGTCATTGAGCTTGTGACGTACATAAACATGTCTGACGTTGTCAAGATGATGGACAGGGGGCCTGTCGTCAGTCTGTGGCCAAAACAAGCTAAATATGAGGAGGTGAATTGCTTTCCATTTCTGTCATCCATACAGGCCAATTGTCTTTCAACCCAGCCAAGGACACTGGAAAAAACATGCGTCCCTGATTTCTCCTCTCTACCATAGTAAACAGAAACAAACATGTAATGTTGGCACATTTAGTAACTTGTTTACACTTCCCTGTCAAAAAACAAACATTTCCAAACTGTTCAAAGTTTGATCCGTAACAATGTATATGAAAGGCCTCAGTCAAGCCAGCCATAACTTCTGTAGCAAAATTTACAGGAGAAGGTCCCATATGTCATTACCATGGGGTTACTTACTGCCCAATAGAGTGGGATGCAATTTGTAGCTACACCTCTCCCTGAGCAAAACAGGGAGAGAAAGCCTTTAATAGAATGTATAGTGAATCTGAGTTGTGTTGATGGCAGGTCTACACAGTACTGAGCAGTGTACGGAACATGAATGTCTACAGGAGGAATCAGGTCCCTGACCGCTTCCATTACAAGGGGGGGAAGTTTGTCTCCAGTCTGACCCTGGTGGCTGACCCTGGCTGGTTTATAACAGAGGTAAGGCTTTGACACGTCACATCTCAGTGATGATATACCTAGTGTGCATTCCAAATGGCACCCTATTCCCTATATAGTGCACTACTTTTGACTAGCTCTATGGGCCCTGGTCAAAAGTAGTGCACTATATAGGGAGCAGAGTTCCATTTGGGACAAGACCTTAGTGTCCATGTGTGCTATAATGTGCTATAATTGAAGAAGTAGGCTAACATTAATTCCACTGTCTTTTAAGCCATTACGTACTGACATGGCTGCCTCTGTTTTCAGAGCAAGTCCAAACTGCCTTTCTGGCAGAACAGCAGTTCACCAGAGCCGCAGGGATGGCAGCATGGTTGGCACGGCTACGACAATGAGTTTGTGGACATGAGGGGCTTCTTCTTAGCACAGGGACCAGGTAACAACTGTCTGATCAGTAGGCCTTCATAGTCATAGAATTATACTGAACAAAAATATAAACGCAACATGCAACAATTTCAAAGATTTTACTGAGTTACAGTTCATAGAAGGCAATCTGTCAATTGAAATAAATTCATTAGGCACTAATCTTTGGATTTAACGACTGGGCAGGGGCACAGCCATGGGTGGGTCTGAGAGGGCATAGGCCCACCCACTTGGGAGCCAAGTCCACCCACTGGGGAGCCAGGCCCAGCCAATCAGAATGAGTTTTTTCCCCACAAAAGGGCTTTTTTACAGACATAAATACTCCTCAGCACTCCCTCCCCCGCCTCAGATGATCCCGCAGGTGAAGAAGCTGGATGTGGAGGTCCTGGGCTGGCGTGGTTGCTCGTGGTCTGCGGTTGTGAGGCCGGTTGGATGTACTGCCAAATTCTCTAAAACGATGTTGTAGGCGGCTTATGGTTGAGAAATTAACATTACATTCTCTGGCAACAGTTCTGTTGGACATTCCTGTAGTCACAGCATGCCAATTGCATGCTCCCTCAAAACTTGAGACATCTGTGGCATTGTGTTGTGTGACAAAACTGCAAATTTTAGAGTGGAATTATTGTCCCCAGCACAAGGTGTACCTTTGTAATGATCATGCTGTTGAATCAGCTTCTTGATATGCCACACCTGTCAGGTGGATGGATTATCTTGGCAAAGGAGAAATGCTCACTAACAGGGATGTAAACACATTTGTACACAAAATCTGAGAGAAATAAGCTTTTTGTGCATATTTTCTTGGATCTTTTATTTCAGCTCATGAAAAATGGGACCAACACTTTACATGTTGCGTTTATATTTATGTTCAGTGTATATATAGATATAGGATCCCAATGTACTGTGCATAGTAAACACAGTGCCTGTGTACTACAGCATCACTCTCATAAGTAGTGATCATTAACATGACCTGAGCTGTACTGCCTATAACTTTATTGAACTATTGGAATCAGGGTTGTTATGACTCTTATCAATCTTATCATTATCAAATAACACTACTGTACTTTGGAAGTGACCCATAAAATAATTTATATTCTGTCTGCTGTACTGTCTTTGCCATGATAACACCCACAGGTATAATAATCAACAAATTGTCTTCTTACCTACAGATTTCAAGAGGAATGTTCGTGCGGCCCCTATCAGAGCAGTGGATGTGTACAACTTGATGTGTAGGACTCTGGGGATTGTGCCTCTGCCCAACAACGGTTCCTGGTCCCGGGTGGAGTATCTTCTCAGTGGCTCTGTGGGCCTGGCCTGGCCTAGTCCTCTCTGGGTTCTGGGTCTAATGGCCCTGGTGCTGTCTCTACAGGCTTAGAACCGGAGAGATTCTGTCATTCACTAGAGTGGATGATGTCATAGACCCACATAGCTCCATAATGCACTGATAATGGCAGGCAGAGCCATAGATATCCTATTAAATTCTTATTTTGTGTTGTAATTCCTAATTCTATGGGCAGAGCCATGTAGTTGAGTTGGGCCAACTTTAAAATGTTGTTCTAATTCTAGACATTCTGTTACATAGCATGATTTAAATATTCCCAATGTAATGTTAATGGGGAGCTAACATGGCTGCCATAGAATGTTGTAGTGTCATGTAAATGAAGAAATCTCAATGGCCCAACTCTATAAATACATGGTTCTGATGGCAATCTACCCTATCATGGCACCTGAGCCAACGCAGGTTTCCAAAGCATTTCCTATTCTAAACATGACAGTGAAAACTACAAAGCACATTGATCACACAGGTTTTATATTTAAATATGGATTGACAGTGCCTTCAGTTTATATAATATTACCAAAAACTCTCTTTGCAAACCAAAACATTTTATAAGTAATCTGGACCAACCTTAGTTCCCCATCATCTCTATCATGATTTGCTGCTGCCAAAGGAGCTAACATGAGTGCCGTAAATTCCGTACAGCATCAACGTCCTCTTCATCATTGTATCTGTGAAGGAGGGTTGGATGAAAGAATGATGTATTTTTTATAATTGTTTGAATATGAGGTTTAGAAGAACTTCTCTCTGCATTGTTCTGTACTGAAGTAAATGTAATGAAGTAAATGTAATGAAGTAAATGTAGTTTTGTACTTATTGTCACCTTTGTTTATTGCCGCAAATCTTCAGACTTCCATGGAAAAGCTCTGTGGTGTTTCTATTAATTAGATTGATCAATAAAACCCTGAAAAATAATCTGTGATCTTGTCTCCTGGGCTGTATAATATACTGTCTATCTAAGGCTGTGGTAAGCGGGAATTTTGAAGTAGCAAGTTGACTTTGACAAGGTAAAAGAGACTTTACTTCCTGGATCCAGTCAAAGTAAACATTGTAATACAGAGCTTTAGGGTTCAAGAGGTCATGTGGAAATGCAGAAGGCCTGGTAAAAAGGCAAGGTCAATAGCATGGTGGTAGAGCATGGCTTTAAAAGGCATGACTCACAGGTCTCAACATTATATACAGTGGCAAGAAAAAGTATGTGAACCCTTTGGAATTAACTGAATTTCTGCATAAATTGGTCATAGAATTTGATCTGATCTTCTTCTAAGTCACAACAATAGACAAACACAGTGTGCTTAAACTAATAACACACTAATAATTATACGTTTTCATGTCTTTATTGAACACACCATGTAAACATTCACAGTGCAGGGTGGGAAAAGTATGTGAACCCTTGGATTTAATAACTGGTTGACCCTCCTTTGGCAGCAATAACCTCAACCAAACGTTTTCTGTAGTTGCGGATCAGACCTGCACACTGGTCAGGAGGAATTTTGGACCATTCCTCTTTACAAAACTGTTTCAGGTCAGCAAAATTCTTAGGATGTCTGGTGTGAACCACTCTCTTGAGGTCATGCCACAGCATCTCATTCGGGTTGAGGTCAGGACTCTGACTGGGCCGCTCCAGAAGGCGTATTTTCTTCTGTTGAAGCTATTCTGTTGTTGATTTACTTCTGTGTTTTGGGTCGTTGTCCTGTTGCATCACCCAACTTCTGTTGAGCTTCAATTGGCGGACAGATAGCTTTACATTCTCCTGCAAAATGTCTTGATAAACTTGGGATTCATTTTTCCGTTGATGATAGCAAGCTGTCCAGGCCCTGAGGCAGCAAAGCAGCCCCAAACCATGATGCTCCCTCCACCATACTTTACAGGTGGGATGAGGTTTTATGTTGGTGTGCTGTGCCTTTTTTTTTTTTCACACATAGTGTTGTGTTCCTTCCAAACAACTCAACTTTAGTTTCTTCTGTCCACCGAATATTTTGGCAGTAGCGATGTGGAACATCCAGGTGCTTTCTTGCGAACTTCAGACGTGCAGCAATGTTTTTTTTGGACAGCCGTGGCTTCTTCCGTGGTGTCCTCCCATGAACACCATTCTTGTTTAGTGTTTTACGTATCGTAGACTCGTCAACAGAAATTGTAGCATGTTCCAGAGATTTCTGTAAGTCTTTAGCTGACACTCTAGGATTCTTCTTAACCTCATTGAGCATTCCGTGCTGTGCTCTTGCAGTCATCTCTGCAGGACGGCCACTCCTAGGGAGAGTAGCAACAGTGCTGAACTTTCTCAATTTCTGACTATTTGTCTTACCGTGGACTGATGAACATCAAGGCTTTTAGAGATACTTTTGTAAACCCTTTCCAGCTTTATGCAAGTCAGAAATTCTTAATCTTAGGTCTTCTGAGATCTCTTTTGTTCGAGGCATGGTTCACATCAGGCAATGCTTCTTATGAACAGCAAACTCAAATTTTGTGAGCATTTTTTATATGGCAGGGCAGCTCTAACCAAGATCTCCAATCTCGTCTCATTGATTAGACTCCAGGTTAGCTGACTCCATGTCACGATCGTTTACGGACGAGACGGACCAAGGCGCAGCGTGATAAGCATACATGTTTATTTACGACTAAACACCACGACAAAACAACAAACGAAACGTGAAGTCCAAGGTAGCATATACACACAACATACCTTACACGGAACAAGATCCCACACCCCACTAGTGCCAACAGGCTACCTAAGTATGGTCCCCAATCAGAGACAACGAGCTACAGCTGCCTCTGATTGGGAACCACCCTGGCCAACATAGATCTAAACGATCTAGAAACGAACCTAGACAAACCCAACACAGAAAATACACACCCTGACTCAACAAATACAAGTCCCTAGAGTCAGGGCATGACACTCCAATTAGCTTTTGGAGAAGTCATTAGCCTAGGGGTTCACATACTTTTTCCAACCTACACTGTGAATGTTTAAATGATGTATTCAATATAGACAAGAGAAATACAATAATTAGTGTGTTATTAGTTTAAGCAGACTGTGTTTGTCTATTGTTGTAAAGTAGATGAAGATTAGATGACATTTTATGACCAATTTATGCAGAAATCCAGGTAATTCCAAAGGGTTCACATACTTTTCTTGCCACTGTAGTCATTCTGAATTACCTATATATGCTTCATTACAGACGTTGGTTGATATGAAACTGAGACAACTTTCAATTGAACAATGAGAACGGTGAGACATCTGCTGCTTTGGGTACACTGAGTGAAATTCAGCAGTCTAGCATGTTCAAGATTGGATTGTCAGTTTCTGAGGCCTAGAATTCTGTATACTGACATCTGATACATAGGTAAATGGAAAACATTTGTAGAACTTTACTTCAGAATTCAGAATTAAGCAGGCTAATCATATTATGATTAAGCCAAAATATGTTAGGATGTGGTCGTTGTCGATCTTGGTCGGTCCTCACACTGTTATCACTGGGTCATGTTACAGTCTGTGAGCACTAATTCACTTATCCACTCTCTGCTCTTAGTAGACCCAAGATGTAGTGATTAGTGAGGTCAGGCACTGATGATGGGCGATTAGGCCTGGCTCGCAGTTGGCGTTCCAATTCATCCCAAAGGTGTTCGATGGGGTTGAGGTCAGGGCTCTGTGCAGGCCAGTCAAGTTCTTCCACACCGATCTCTACAAAACATTTCTGTATGGACCTCGTTTTGTGCACGGGGGCATTGACATGCTGAAACAGGAAAGGGCCTTCCCCAAACTGTTGCCACAAAGTTGGAAGCACAGAATCATCTAGAATGTAATTGTATGCTGTAGCGTTAAGATTTCCCTTCACTGGAACTAAGGGAACCTAGCCCGAACCATGAAAAACAGCCCCAGACAATTATTTCTCCTCCACCAAACTTTACAGTCGGCACTATGCATTGGGGAAGGTACAATTGAAGTTGGAAGTTTACATACACTTAGGTTGGAGTCATTAAAACTCTTCAACCACTCCACACATTTTTTGTTAACAAACTATAGCTTTACCAAGTCGGTTAGGACATCTACTTTGTGTACGACACAAGTAATTTTTCCAACAATTGTTTACAGACAGATTATTTCACTTATAATTCACTGTTTCACAATTCCAGTGGGTCAGACGTTTACATACACTAAGTTGACGGTGCCTTTAAACAGCTTGGAAAATTCCAGAAAATGATGTAATGGCTTTAGAAGCTTCTGATAGGCTAATTGACATCATTTGAGTCAATTGGAGGTGTACCTGTGGATGTATTTCAAGGCCTACCTTCAAACTCAGTGCCTCTTTGCTTGAAATCATGGGAAAATCAAAAGAAATCAGCCAAAACCTCAGAAAATAAATTGTAGACCTCCACAAGTCTGTTTCATCCTTGGGAGCAATTTCCAAATGCCTGAAGGTACCACATTCATCTGTACAAACAATAGTATAAACAACAAGTATAAACACCATGGGACCACGCAGCTGTCATACCGCTCAGGAAGGAGACACGTTCTGTCTCCTAGAGATTAACGTACTTTGGTGCGAAAAGTGCAAATAAATCCCAGAACAACAGCAAAGGACCTTGTGAAGATGCTGGAGGAAACAGGTACAAAAGTATCTATATCCACAGTAAAATGTGTCCTATATCGACATAACCTGAAAGGCCGCTCGGCAAGGAAGAAGCCACTGCTCCAAAACCGCCATTAAAAAGCCAGACTACGGTTTGCAACTGCACATGGGGACAAAGATCATACTTTTTGGAGAAATGTTCTCTGGTCTGATGAAACAAAAATAGAACTGTTTGGCCATAATGACCATCGTTATGTTTGGAGGAAAAAGTGAGGAGCTTGCAAGCCGAAGAACACCATCCCAACCGTGAAGCACGAGGGTGGCAGCATCGTGCTGTGGGGGTGCTTTGCTGCAGGAGGGACTGGTGCACTTCACAAAATAGATGGCATCATGAGGAAGGAAAATTATGTGGATATATTGAAGCAACATCTCAAGACATCAGTTAGGAAGTTAAAGCTTGGTCGCAAATGGGTCTTCCGAATGGACAATGACCCCACGCATACTTCCAAAGTTGTGCCAAAATGGCTTAAGGACAACAAAGTCAAGGTATTGGAGTGGCCATCACAAAGCCCTGACCTCAATCCTATAGAAAATGTGTGGGCAGAACAGAAAAAGCGTGTGTGAGCAAGGAGGCCTACAAACCTGACTCAGTTACACCAGCTCTGTCAGGAGGAATGGGCCAAAATTCACCCAACTTATTGTGGGAAGCTTGTGGAAGG